ATAGTTATTTTGAACTTCTATGCTCACTGATAATTATCTTTGAGGCCTGGGGAAGGGGTTGATAGATAACATCTCTGAAGACAAAGGGACTGTCCTTTGTGGGGACTAACTGATAGAAGGTACATCTCTTGTGAAGCAAGCAGGGCACCAGGAGTTGGGATAGGTACGATGTGAGGCAATTTGAAGAAGGGAAAGAAGAGCTGATCCTAGACCATCAGGGGCCACCTAACATGTAAATCATGCCATAATTGATCGGTAATGTCTGCCACTGGTAGAAGGCTTGGCGGTAGCACACATAGCAGTCAAGACAAACCCATCTTGGGACCAGCAGGTGGCATGGTGGTTAAAGTGCTGAACTCCCACATGACCTACCATGGTTCAAGCCCTGGAACCAGCAGCTTGAAAATTACACCAGGCATATGTGTGTGCATGCCCAAGATCCTGAGAAGAGAATAGAAGACAAAAGATTGCTGTGTGGTCATCCCCTGGGAGGTGATTTCTCACCTTCGTTTTCACAGACTTTGACTCTACAATGAGTGCATGCAACCTATGGGGAAAAAAAAAGGAAAGAAAAAAAGCTTAAAAGAGAGAGAGAGAGAGAGAGAGAAGAAAGAAAGAAAGGAAGGAGAGAGAGAGAGAGAGAGAAAGAAACCCGTTAGTAAGACATGCTGTTTTGCTCTAGGAGAGCTCCTTATTTAACTATGAAGAATCTAAATAAATATTCTATAATGTAAAGAAGTCCAGATTGGTGACGTAGCCTGGCCGAGGTCACACAGCTTGCTGTGTTTGAGAAAGCTGGTCAAAGTCTTGTGGTACAAGTGAACCCATCAAACCCTTCCTGGGCACTGAGCCTAGGACTCTGGGGACCCAGGAGGCCCCTGAAAACAAGGGTTCATGTCTCACATAGGAGAGGGTTACTACGAGAAAACAACGTGAGAACCAGCACGGGCAGCTCCACTGCCTCAGATCCCTTGCGTGGTGGTAATTCCAAGCAGAGCGAGGCGGCTACAGATCAAGAGGTCACAGCCACTTTCTGAATGAGCTGAGCTCTGACAGATGGGGCACATTTAGAGAGGGCAGAAGGCAAGCAAGGCCCAACCTACAGGGCGCTGTCAACAGCAAGGGGGAGTTACGGGATGGGGACTGGAACAAGCCATGTGGGAGGAAGCCCCACGAGGAGGAGGGGTGCCGTGGAGGTACATGTGTGACATAAGATGGAGAAGCTACTGGCCCTCAGTGGATGTGGTTGATTTACAAGAGGATTGGGGGCCTCTTGGAGGTTCTGGAATGAGAAAGTTCCCAGGTACTTAGGACCTAAGCTCCAGGTTGCTGGGGTCCAAGGGAAGGGACTAAGCCTCATTCTGTGGATGAGGCCCAGGAAGGTAAAGGACTCCTGCAAGGGCAGTCGGAGAGCCCAGGTGGGTTTCTTCTGATGGCATCTTTAGTCTTTGGATTAGATCAATGGCCCCTCCTCCTCCTTGTCCTCCACCTGGTGGCCCCTGACTCCTGCCACCTGCCTGTGAAGCCTGGACTGCTTGGGCCCTCCTGCTGGGACCCTAGGCCACTCAGACTTTCGCCAGCCAGTCTGTGTCTATTCGTTAGCATGAAGTAAGAGCTGGAACGCCCTGGTGAGCTGCTCTCTCTCCGGGGCATTAGGTTGGTTTCCACCGTAAGGGGCTAGGTAGTGAGGGCTGCCAAGTAGGAGGCTGGGGGAGGAGCGCTTGAAGAAAATGAAGAGGATCCCAAGCCAAAGCAAACCCCAAATCCTGTGACTTCTTCGCTGAGGTGCTGGGTGTCCCTGGTCCCTGAGACCTTGTGAAGACTGGAGTGATGCTGCCATGAGCCAAGAAATTAGGAGAAAGGCCTGGAACAGCTCAGTGACCCCAAGAGAGGGAAAGGAGGGGACACTGAGCCTGGTTTGGTCTCCTTTTTAGCCTGGTTCTCAGTGTTTAATATGTGGGAGACACTCAATACAGAGGGATTTAAACAAATAAAAGGAGAACCTCAAAAAATTGGTGGGAAAATGGAATTGAAGTATGAGGTTTTTTCTTTTTAATGTAGAGACCAGTTACACACACACACACACACACACACACACACATGAGAAATAGAGAGAGGAGCACCCTCAACAGATCTCGTCATGCCTGGATCCCCTTTTCCCTCCACAACCGCAATTTGCCCAATGTATTTTCAAGCCAAACCAGGGATTGGAACTGCAGGCAGCCATGTGACTTCCAGCCTTGCAAAACACTGCATTACCCCCGTGCCACAGAGGCTAGGCCTATGAGTTTATTTTGGCACAAAAGCACTTTGAAATCCATGCGTGACTTTCTCGTGATATACATTTTCCAAGAACTGTTTGAAGACTCCTTGTACATAAGTATGCATGCCTTTCTCTTTTCACCCACAAGGCTTCACGTTGTCCATCTGGGTGCTGGTGGGCAGGCACTGAGTTGATGTTGGCTGTGGACTGCACCCTGTTGGGCATTAGTGTGGGCCAGCTCCTTGGGAGGTAAAAGTTGGGGAGGTCAGAGACCAGCTTCGGCTGGTTCTGTGCTTATCTGCCCCAGCTGCTCTGTTTGCAGGCTGTGGGGACCCAAACTGTACCCACATGTAACTGTGAACACCTACCGGGTATGATGTGTACAATGATATGTGCAATATGTACACACCTATCTGGTGTGTAGCTGCGAGGATGAGAGAAGGCCACAGGGCAGTCATCAGCTGCCTGGGAGGGAGGGACATGAGACTGTCACCCCAAAAAGAGACAGTAGATGAGATAGTTGATCACAGAATTAACTTGCGAGGGCTGCTTGATTTCAGACTTCTGACTACAAACTGGTGGCTTAGGACAATAGAAATTTGTGTCATCTCACAGTCTTGGAGGCCAGAAGTTTAAAGTCAAAATGCTGACAGAGTCACAGCCCCTCTGAAGGTGCTAGAGAAGGAGCTGTTCCAGGCCTGTCTCCTAACTTCTTAGCACCACTCCAGTCTTCACATGGCCTTCGCCCTGTGTGTGTGTCTGTCTCTGTCTTCAGATTTCTCCTTTTCATCAGGAGACCAGTCATACTGACAATGGCCCGTCCTAATGACATAGTTGTGTCTAATGACATCTATAATAATGCTATTTGCAAACACAGTCAGATTTGGAGATATTAGGGGTTCAACATATGAAGGAGGGGGCAGAATTCAGCCCATAGCAATCACTGAGGAGTACCTGTAGTAGACTCGGACCGGGACTAAGAATGGGTGATGTTGGCCACCAGCTCCCCAAGCTGGAGCCCCAGCACACACCCTCCAGCTGCAGGCTTTGAGTGCCCCAGAATGCCTATTGGATCCTGCCATGAGCCCTTTCTGTACACTGTTCCCTCAGTCTGGATGACTTCTTTTCTCCTGCCTGGCCTCCGTGAATCCTTCCTTCCCCTGTCCAAGGGAGTCCTTCCCTGACCTTCTGGGGAAAGCTGCATGTGTTTTGATCCTATTGCAGCACCCTGAGTCCAAGCGCAGATCTCACTATATTGTAATTTGTTTTATGTGTGTCGTCTCCTATCATTCTTTGTTGGCAAGGCCTGTAATTCCTTCACCTTGTGTCTTCAGTGTTTGTTCAGGCCCAGACTCACGGGACAGTACTTGAGCAGCGTAAGAGCTAGTGGGCCTGACAAATGTGAGATCTGGGGAGAGATCTGTCACAGTGAATATCAGGAGAATCAGGCCCTTCAAAGAGTCTCAAAAATGAAAACTGGGGATTCTTCTAGGAGTCTAACCAGGAGGCTAAACATGCATAGAGAAAATTGTACATATCATATAAATACCATTCAGTAGATTTTCACAAACTGAACGCACCCGAGTCACCAGCACCCAAATAGAGAAACAGAACATTACCAGTCCTCCAGGATTCTCCTGGTGTCCCTTCCCAGTTACTATCTGCATTCTGTCCCATAGATGAGTCTGCTTGTTCTTCAACTTTATATAAATTGAATCACGTAGCCAGTGTTTATTCATATCTGGATTCTTTTGCTCCACATCATGTTTGTGAGATTTATTTCTGTTGCTACATGTTATTTTAACTTATTTATTCTCACTGCTGTATAATAGTCCAGCATGTGAACATACTATGCTTTATTTATCTGATCAGCTGCTGATAGACATTTGGGTGATTTCCAGTTCAAAACTATTATGGGTTATCCTGTTCTGTACTTAATGTTTTGTGAATATCTGTGCACATTTCTATTATGTTTATACTTGGGAGTGAATTCCTAGGCCCTAAGGTATACGCATGTGTAGCTTGAGTGAACGTGAAAGTACTGTCTTTAAAGGGAGTGATGATAGTAACCAGACCGTAGGAGTAAAGAGGGCTGGAGGGCCTTAGGGGTGATGACAGGAAGTTGGAGAATTTGTCAAGAAGATTGTCAAAGAACAGGGAAATCAAATCACAGAAGCTGCATCAAATAAAGGAATTTCTGTCTACGGAGTGGATCGCGAAGGAAACATCGAAGGATAAGGACTGGAGCGGGCTGACTTAGTGAGAAATTCAGTCGCCAGTGTAGCCTTGGTCAATGGCGGCTTCTCAGAAAACAGAGCTTAATTCTGAAGTCACGGATCCCATTAGGCTGGTAGTGACGGTGGTAGCTTGTCAGTGGACTGTATGGAGCCCCTGCTGGCTGTGGAGGCTGAGAAGAAAGTCGTGGACAGAGGCAGCAAAGACATGCGCCATTTCTATCCTGAAGTGCTCCCCTTCGTAAAACACCATCAAAACGAGGGCCCATGCCTAGGGGATGCTGGCCATCTCCTGCAGAGTCCCTGACTCTTACTGGGTGGACTTGCCAAGACACTGGGGTGGTTCATTCCCACCTCCCACTTGTCCAGGGTGGCCATATGAGGGGGACAGAGAGGGCCTCTGCTGCTCCTTCAGGCTGGGTCCTTGGGGAGGTCTCTGCCCTCTTGTACTCATCATCTTGCCCCTGCAAATAACGTCAGCGCCTTTACCCCATCTCTTCCAGAATGGCAGCAAAGACAACTCGCTGGACATGCTGGGCACAGACATCTGGGCCGCCAACACCTTTGACTCATTCAGGTAACTTCCTCTTTGTCCTTTCCCTTTAGTTTGTGGTTCCAGCCAGGACCCCAGCTTACCTGTCCTCCTGTCCTGTGGGTCTTACAAGGCCGAGTAATGTCGGTCGTTCACTGAGCTAGAATGGAGGGAAACAAAGAGGGGGATGAGGTAGAAAGGGTGAAGCTGGAGATGAAGGGTATCAGAGAGAGGAGGCAGGGGGCTCAACGCAGAGCCATGAGGGAGAGAGCTTCGGTGGGAAGGAGAGAAAGATGGGGAGGGGACAGAAACAAGACATCAGCTGTGGAAGAGAGAAAGAAATCAGAGAGGAGGCACTGGGAGATGGAAGCGCACAGGAGAGGAAGATGGCCGAGAGTGGACGGCTGAGGCTGCAGACCCCACATCCCAGCTGTCTGTAGACCCCACATCCCAGCTGGCTGCAGGGAGGTTGGGAGAAAGGATGTTTCACTGGTTCAGACTCTGGAAGATTCCTGGTAGGAATCTAGCCCAGGTATTGGCTAGAGTTCCTCAGGACATGGGGGCCGTGCCCGTGGGGGTGTGCTGACGGGAACCTGCCTTGGCGTCCACCACTCCTATGAGGAGGGGTGACCTTGGGCCAGAGACGGCAGTGGTCCCTTAGTGGTCCCTCTGCCCTGGCCCTAGAGATGCCCAGGTGGGGATGCTCCAGGCACACCCCGGCTTGGGTGCAGACTAGCCCAACAGAGGAGGTCTCCTGAAAGGGCAGCTGGGGAGGCTGGTCGTCTTGTCCACCTCATAGTTGCTTTGTTGCCATTTTGAGCTGCTTGTCAGAGGCTCTGGTGACAGGTTTTTGGCCCCCTGCTCTCTCCAGCCATCCTCACATGCAGATGTGAGAACAAACTCTGAGTAGGGGAGCCCTATGGAGTAGGCAGCAGCCACCCCCGTGTTTAGCCCCCTGCTAGTTCGTTCTGCTGCCACCAGGAAAGGTGAGGCTGCCCTTGGCGGCGCGGCCCCTCAGTAACTGGGCCTGTCTCCCCTTGCCTTGCATTTCTCACGCTCCCTCGCCCTCTAGTGGTGCCACCTGGGACCTGCAGCCCGAAAAGCTGGACTTCACCCAGTTCCACCGGAAGCTCCGGCACACGCCCAAGCAGCCCCTGCCGCACATCGACCGTGAAGGGTAAGGGGCAGGGTCCGACACAGGAGTCGGGTGGGGATGGGAGTGGCTGTACCCAAGTAAGGGCCTCTGCGGGGAGGCTGCCCTGAGGAGGCAGGGACACACCGGTAGCCATGTTCTTCCTGTCCCGCCCCCAAAAGCTCGGGCTTGTCTGGAATTCCTCCACCCTTCTCTGCCGGGCCCAGGGGCCACGCCACGCTGCCCACGCCTGACCACCCACGGCCAGCCACTTGTCCGTAATCTGGTCCCTTGGGTCTCGAATTGGAGCAGGCACCAGCATCCCTTGGGTGCTCCTCGTGTCAAGCAGGTGGACCTACCCCAGGGTGGAGTCTGAGGATGCGCATTTCTAACAGTTCAGGTCTGAGAATGCAGATTTCTAACAGTTGGAATTGGGTTGGGACTGCGCGTCCAGGAGCACTTTTGGGGAGCCCCTGGTGCCGTGGTTGACTTCACACCAGCTCACTCCACCCTCTGTGGGCTTCATGTATTACTGTTGCCATTCCTTTTTTTTTGGAGAGATTTTCGCTATAGGGTGCCTACGCTGGCCAGAAAGACAGAGAGAGACAGAGAGACAGAAAGCGAGAAATCACGCCCCCAGGGGGATGGTGACACTGCAATCCCTTCTCCTCCATTCTCCTCTGGGGATCTTGGGCGCATGCACACAAGCCCGGTGTAAGTTTAAGCCACTGGATCTGGGACTCAAACCACGGTCATCTACATGAGAGTCCAGCAACATAGCCATTAAGCCAACTGCTGGGCCTGCCATCCCTTTTAAAAGGTAGTATAGGCCAGCAGGAGGTAGAGAGGTTAAGGCACTGGACTTCCACATCACTGACTGTGGTTAGGGTCCTGGACCCAGCAGCTTGAAAATCAACCCGGGTGCATGTGTGTATGTGTCCAAAATCACAAGAGGAGAATGGAGGAGAAGGGATTGCAGCGTGGCCATCCCCCTCTCTGTTTCTCTCTGGAGAGCTTACTTACCCTCTAACAAAAACTTAAAAAAAAAACATTGATATTGGGCCTCGGGACAGGAATGTGAGTCCAGACAGACACAGGGCTGTGGGACAAATGGCTGTTGCTCTTCTACTTTTTCAGAATAATTTTTATTGATGTGAAAGTCACATGACGTAAAATTAGCCACGTTGAAGTGGCATTCTGGCGACATTTAGTACATTCACGATGGCCTATAACCACCACCTCTGTCCAGTTCTAAAGTGTTCGCCTCACCCCCATATAAACCCCAAACCCAGCCACAGGCCTGCCCCGTCTCCCTCCCCCACCCCAGAGTTCCCGTAACTACCAGTCTGCATTCCATTTCTGTGAATTCCTGTTCTGGGTATTTACGTAAATGAAATGATATAGGACCTCTTGTGTCCGGCTTCTCTCATGTCGCGTATTTTCAAGGTCTATCCATGCCGTAGCATTTATCAGCGCGTCTTTCCTTTCCCTGTACAGTAGTGTTCCACCGTGCGTCCATCCCACCAGTGTTTATCCAGTCTCCTGTCGGCAGATTCTGGTTTCCAGCCTTGGGCTACTCTGAATGATGCTCCTCTGAACATTCGTGTAGAAGAATGTTTGAATCTCTGTTTTTAATTCTTTGGCTATATACCTAGGAGCGGAATTGCTGGGCCCTACGGTAGTTCTGCCAGGTGCCAAGACTTTTAGAGAAATGTCTACTTCTTTCCACGGTAGCTGAACGTCTCATGTCGCCACCAGCAACACTCAGGAGTTCCGATTTTCCCACATCTTCACCAACACTCGTCACTTTCGATTTTTTCCTTTGTTTGCTCTTTATTATTGTACCAGTGGCTTTTATTTTTCCTTCCAGTCCTCTGTGCCCACTCTCGTCTCCCTGTTGCTTCAGTTCTGAACGTAACTGACATTGTGGACGCTCTCCTGCCCCTCATACCCTCACACCCTGCACTGTCGCACCCCAAGTGCTCACCCCTAAGCAACACAGGGCTCGTTATAATATAATGAGAAGGAGATGTTCTCCCCCAGGCCCATTCATGACTGAGTGTGTGCAAGAAAAACAGTGCCTCAGCTCTATGGTGCGCACGCGGAGAGTGCACGGTATAAAGTAAGATGCCAAGTGTGGGCTTGAACAGAGAACATACAGCGAGAGCAGTTTGGGGTGACGAACCCTCTGGGAAAGGCTACAGGAGAAAGACTGCATTTTACTGGACAACTCCCATCTCTCCGGTGTCCCCTAGGAACAAACAGTTGGCAAAACAAGAGCAGGGACCAGCAGTTAGCGTAATGGCTATGTCACTAGACTCCCATGTAGTTGACCAGGTTCGCGTCCTGGACCTGGTGGCTTAAACTCACACCAGGCGCGTGTGCATCCGTGCCCAAGATCCCGAGAGGAGAATGGAGAAGGTATTGCGGTGTGGCCATCCCCACTGGGGGGGTGATTTCTCGCTTTCTGTCTCTCTTTCTGGCAAGCGCACGCGCCCTATAGCAAAAACCTCTAAAAAACAAAAACAAAAACAAGGGCAGAAACTAAGGCCCAGAGGATCAAAGTGATGTTGTCGTCTTACCGACTGCTGATGTTCAATGGGCAATGCATGTTGAAGTCAGGCTCTCCAAGGGTGTCCATGCCAGGTCACAGAGACTAGCTAACTTCATAACACAAATGCCATTGGCAGTAACAAGTGACTGTCCAGAGGAGGGAAGGTTCCTGTATGCTGAAGCCAGAGTTGCTGGCCACACCCCTCACCAGCTGCAGGCTTGAATTCCTTGGCCAGGCACAGGCTTCTCCATGTGCCAGGAGCCTGCTGGTTTTGCTGAAAGTTGCCTGGAGTCCCCCCCCAGACACCTGACTCTGGCCAAACCCAGATTCTGTTGGGTTCTCCAGGGTGTCTGGGTGGAGCGACCGTGGCCACCTAGTGGCTAAAGAGTCCTGCCGTACTGGGATGGGCCTCACACGTCCGGCCACTGCAGCATCCTTAGAAGCAGGGTACCACTTAGTTGCCAAGGCTTCCCACAGCCTGTGTTTCCATGGAGGGACAGAAATCAGAGAAGGCTGTTGCCTTGGAAACCGCACTGAAGCAGTGACTCAGCAGGTCTGTACCACCTTCTGCCCTCCAACCCTGCAGGCCTCCAGGGAGTTCTGAGAGGGTCTGGGGGCACAGCAGCCCTCCCTGTGTATACTCACTGCCTGACCCAGGGGCTGCTGAGGGGACAGCAGGCCATACCCGAGTGTGCTAGGCTAGTGCCCTCCGTGCATGCTTGGAGAGTCCTGGGTTGTGCTTTGTGCACACATGACATGGGGGAAGGGGGGTCAGCCATTGCTGCTGGGGGCCG